TTTATTTAATGAAATTGTATGGACCAAGTTAATATTAAAAAAAACATTTGGGTCAAATTGCAAATCTTTTACATATTCCGATCTTTACCCATATGTCGGACAGAATAACACACACAAAGGCGATAATCATTTGAAATAGAACAGATTTTTTTTCCATTATAAACATTTTACGTAATTTTTCATTACCAAATTATCAAATGGAATGGGGCGTAAGGGAGCTCATAAAGAGTTGAATTAGGTTTTTATTTGCTCTGATATTATTTGTTGCATATGATATGGCTACATAAAAAATGTAAACGCTCAAATTTTCCTGATTTTTTTTTCAATGAATCTTCATTGATTGTTTGTTTTGGAATGAGAATGATTTATTTACTAACTGTTGTTATGTTAAAAATATCTTTGATTTATTATGTATTATTATATATTCCAATCTTGCATATTGTTTATTTTAAAATAAGAGGTTATTTATTCTGTTGGTGATAGATATAACTTTTTAAAGATTTGTGTTTGTAGGAATTAAATTCATCTACAGGTAGAGTTCCTCCTTTCCATGCATCTCAAATCTTGTTGGCGCAATCATTGAAGAATGTTAGAGAAGTACAGCTATTCGAATGTTGGAACTTAATATCATTTTCAACTCTATCCCTTGCCTCTGCAATTTTGTGGGAAGATTTGAAAATTATAAGCTGTGATCAGCTGAAGTGCATTGGAGAAGATGAGGCAGATACTGGAACTCGCATGAACTACAATTATTCCATCTTTCCAAAGTTGAAACGGTTAGAAGTTTTAAACTGCAACGCATTGGAATATTTATTCCCAGCACATGCTTTCAGATGCCCTGCATATTTGGTGAGAAGCCTACCAATGTCGCAGAAGCTCAGTATATCAAAATGTGAAGAATTAGTTAACATTGTTGAAGAAGATTATGGAACAAAAGATGATGATTATCATTTGTGCCGTGAACCATCCTTTCCCAACTTAGAACAAGTCTCTGTCATTGATTGTGACAAATTGAGCTACCTGTTCTCTATCACTATTTTTGGTATCCTTCCAGAACTAAGATCTTTGGAGATAGTTAGAGCCAATGAGCTTGGGCATGTACTGGTAAGACAAGGAGAGATGAAAGAGATGACCATGAAGGATGTGCTTCCACAACTAAGTCAATTGAGGCTCATAGATCTTCCCAACCTTGCTAGTCTCTGCTATGGGATTGATTTTCAAACTTTGAAAGGAGACAATAACACGGAAGTGGATGATTGTCCCAAGTTTTCCTTTTATGGTATGCATTCAGAGAAGTATTTATTCTCTATAAAATTGAAAATTATTATGAGTTTTATTATAACATTAAAAATCCTACTTTCAGAAATTTCAACTACCCAGCTACAAGCATATCCTGAAACAACATGTTCTCAAGTTGAAGAAAAAGCAGAGAAGAACCTTTCTTCTCATCTCAATACTGAACAATCTTTAAATATGGGAGAAACAACACAAGAATCCCCGAGGAGGTATGATTTTGATTGCTAATGGCATCATTTTACTGCTTCTCCAATGGTCCCCCTCATCATTATATGTATGCTTGATTATTTTAATTTTGTCGCAATGGTCGGAAAAGTTCTATCCTTTTTTGTGAGAAAAAAAGAGTTTGAATATCATATTTAAAATGCTGAAAATACACCCACGCGCGGGTACACACTAGTGTGATGTATTCCAACTGCTTAATGAATTTGACATGAACTGGAAAAAAAAAAAAAAAACTAATAGTTTTGGACAGGGCATTGAAGAAAAAATATATAATTCCATTGTGATAAGCATGCTATTTTTAAAAACACCAAAGAGACATCATCATCATTTGATTGATTTTTTGTTACATCATTTGATTCTAATTTTATGAGGTAGCAAACCTTTAAGAATTTATTTTAATTTTATTAAGGAGTGGGTTGGAAATCTGAAATAAAAAAATAATAAATAACAATTTTTTTTAACAAAGGAAATGAATAAAGTTACGGTTAAACCTTATTTAGGTTCACTAATTAAAGATGTTTAGCCATTTAAGAACCACTTGTGATTCCTTAGAATCCCAGAAAGGCCAACAATTAAAAATTTTTTCCCCAAAACACTCTAGGTTCTATCACAAATGCTTTGCTATTATTGGGATAAGATTTTCTAAAATATTTGAAAAATTCATAACTAATGCAATATAGCTCCAAAAATAGTGGTTCATAGCTTTAACTTTAGCTCTTGAAAAAGCTTTATGCTCGAACTAATTCTTAGCTCCCCCACCCCCCCTCCCCAAATAAAAACTATACTACCTTTAAAACTATTGGAGCCTTTAAATTAATCAAAGTTCATTTTTATCTGCCTCAAGCATGCAGGCTGAACAGGGCGGCTTTACAAATTTAATTTTGTGTCTAATATTCCCAAACTTATGCTAGAGACTTGCTACTACACCAAGGTCTCTGCTAAGCTCATTAATTTAACCAAAACTTAACTTCCTCTTACAAAAAATATGCAGGGCTTTTAGACATGCCTTTGGTGTAGTTTATAAACCTCTTTGGGTCACAACTTTGAGTCCAAACAGGGGATAAGAACTAAAGTTCACAAGGCTAATTCGTTGATATTCTTATTGCCCATCTAATCACTATGTAGGAGCCACCAGACCCTTTACCTGTGCAGTTCATCCACTTTTGGACAGCCTTCGCTTTACATTTTAAAATTTCCGGATTCATAAACTCCTCTTTTAAATACATTGAGGGGTTATATTTATATTCAACCAAACCAAATTCTCTCTATTCCAATTACTTTGACAGAGCAAGGGAAAAGAATAAAACCTGGCTTAACCACTTCACTTCATTCATATTTCACCTCGAAGCCTTTAGGTGTTCACTATGTTTTAGTTCCAATTAAATATAAATTTAATACATAATTCAACATTAAATAAGTGGGAAAAATTCAGCTTCTGAATTCGAGATTTCAGCTCCCATAAGAGAAGTCAAATAATAGTAGTACTCCACAAGCTTTAATCCATCATCTAAATATGATTTCCATAGCTTAATGCACATGTCGCTCACTTTTCTGTCTAGAAATCAGATTTAAACCTCTCATTTACTTGCAAAGCACATAGCCACTGGAAAAAAATATTGATGAAATAAGGTTTAAGGTCCTTACCTTGGTCTAAATGTACGGTTGCATGTGAGGGAAGAACTTTCCTTCTTCTTCGATCGCTTCTTCACCTCCTCTCAGCTCTGTGTGTGCGCGCGCGCGCGCGCGTGTGATGCTTTTCTTTTTTGGACCTAGTGCATCACATCCAATACTCTTCAAATTGGGCTATGCATTGGCCCGATTTCCTTTTTAGACTTGAGATAGTGAAATAGCCATTGTGCCATCACTATCGGCACTAAACTTTCCTAATAAATTCCAAAAAATTAGTCCGGGACACATTATGAAGGTTTTTTTTTCAATTAGCTTCTCTAACTCCTAAAATAAGTTTTGTAAAATTTTCAGGCTGAACATTAGCCTCCAACTATTTTTAATTCAATTTTCAGAAAAATAGGCCCTTATATCCCATAAATTAATTTTAAAGTTATAAGTCATTTCTGGAAAATATAAACCTCTTCATAATATTTCTAAATTCTCAAAATAAAATAATTTTAATAATTAATTTTCATTTCCTTAAATTCTCATACAAAATAGACTTTTTGACATTTAAATTTTAAATAATGTCCCTAAACCTCAATATGCTTTGAAAATCACTTCTCTACTTCTTGAGACTCCTATCAAAATTTTGGGCCTTTTATAATCATAATTTTGTTCTATATTTTCTCTTATTTAATCTTTTGCCCCTAAGCCCACTATATTTTTCAACTTTTAGGTCAACTATCTTATTTAACCCATATTCAAAATTCAAATATTACAATTACTACTAAATATTTTAGCTAATTCGTTAATTCTTTTTCATGCAGAATGATTAGAATTGATTTAAGAAAGGTATCACCAAAACTAACATTAATTTTTTTATTTATAAATTTTTATTCTTTATTTATGTCTATCACACAATAATTTTCTTTCTTTGCTTTAAGGTTGTCATATGAACTTTAACATATAATTTGAAGGGGATAAAATGGGAGAAAAAAACTCAGATCAAGTATGTCAAATTCTCCAATTACATTGATCATGTGTCCTTTATGTTTCATGTGGATTTATAACTAAACGTTAATATTTAAAAAAAGACACATAGTCATTGGTGATTGGAGAATTTGACACAATGGATATAAAGAATTTGATATGACTATTGTCCTTTAAAATGCCAACAAGAAACTCTTAATACACATAAATATGGGTGTGTGTGTGTGCGCGCGCGCGCGGTGCGTGCGTGTGTGTCCAATTTTTTATTGAATTTGACATGAACTAATAAGCAAAGTTTTATCTGTAGTGCTGGCCATTCAGAAACAATATTGATGTTGATAAGCATGATATCTAAAATGTGCCAAAAGAACATATCATCATCATCATTATTTTTGTTATGCTGAATAATGAAGAAGAAAGGAATCCTGGTGTTAATGAATTCAACGTTTGAAACTTTGTTTTATCTTCTGCTATATATGAAGCAACAAAGAATATTATTGAAGAAGGTCCTAGACCAAAGTTGCAAAAAACAAAATTTTTTAAAACTCATTTGTTAGCCAATCTCTTTAAAGCTTAGTTTTATATATTGTGGTGTTGGTCTGGGTACAAAGAAAACAGCTACACTAATTTATCATCTTTGTTTTATATGACCACTGGTTTCTAGCAGAAGGTGCCAGTTCATGCAAGTCCCAACCTCACTGTTCTTCCTATAAGAGGTAACACTCACGCAAGTGCTAAAATATTTGAAGAGGAAGATGAAGAGGAAGAGGAAGGTAAAATATTGATTTGTTAGTTTTGTATTAGAAAAATACTAGTTATTTATTTTATGGGTTTACAGACAGCTTGATAACATCCCGACGTCCCCGAAATGGCGAGAAAGTTAGCAGTTCTTTACCAGAGAAAAAGCTTGAAAACTCTACTGATGGTACTTGCTGTTTTCTTTAAATGAAATCTTTAATTAATTTCTTCCTTTGATTTGATATAATAATCATTTTTTCATGGGTGACCCATGTGTGCCCCCAGAAACAATTGTTTCGAGCGAACAAACTTCAACAAGCCTTAACCAAACTCCTTCATCTATTATCCCCAAGCATTCTGATGGTAGGTTTCCTTGCTGTCTTCTTATATTGACACTTCATTCAATCATTGTAGTGTCAAACTTGCCAAAACTATATATCGAGACTACCTTATCAAGCAAAGACAGATGTTGCTATAAGAAGTACCATTGACCTTATAGAAGATTCTAGTCTATGCTCTAGTAATTCTACTCATTGCACGTCTGATCTTTATTTTATTCAATTATTATTTTTAATTTCCATTCTAACATCACTTCATTAATCTAAGGGATATATCTAAAATGTTGAAACTACTAACTAGTGAACTCCAATAATGTAGATTATGTTGAAGTTTGTGATAAGTCTCATCCGCATTCAAGCTCTTCATTTGAATGTGTTGACGGCGGGGAAAACAAGGAAGCAGGTATGGCTCAAAATGAATCTATCTCGAATGTTGAAATAAGTAACCCAGCACAAAGGGAACAAGAGTCGTCACATTGTAAAGGTTATTAACCTATTTCCTCTATTGTTGAACATATAAAACATAAGTGAACTTGAATCTTCTTTCCCGTGATCCATGTGAGTACTTCTCATTCTGCATAGTTGATTTCATTATCTTCATTTTCTAATGCGATGGTCTTTTTCTGGGCCAAATTCAAACAATAATCAATTGACAATTCACAACCAGCAAGAGCAATGCCAGCAACACTTTTTGTTAATATTCCCAAAGAAGAATCCTCAAAGGTAGTACTATTGCTATTTCTTCATACATAAAGATTATAGGTTTTGCTTTATATTTCTATCTAGCTAGTTGTACTACTATTAGATAAGATTCATGTATTGTCATGCCCTATTATGATAAGTACTGAGTAACTATCATAAAGGCTTTTTCGCATTTACATAGATTGAAACTCAAGATTTTTATTTAAGAGACCTTAGTTTCTTCGACTAAGATCAACATCTGTTGGCATAAGATATAAAAATTTATTCTAGATAAAGTGGAGTTATCCCACTTTCTCATGCACAGCTAAAATACATTCTCATTCTGTCCACAAGGAAACTAAATTTGACATACAATCTAAGCAAACAAAAACAACTTAAAAGTTCATTGGGGATTATATTTATGATGGTTTATCACCTTAGAAGAAAGCAACTTAAATATCTTTGGTGATATATAGATTGTTGGAGTAAGAGCTGAAGATGGTGCTTCAATATTAGAGACCCCACATCCAAGTTCCTTAACTTCTAAACAGGTTTGCTTCTTCCAACAATTTTACAATTTAATATATTTGTTATTCCTATATTAACAATTATGAATGGTTTATTGTACAAGGAACCTATTCCCATGAGTCCCAATCCCACTATTCTCCCCAAAAGCCCAGGTACAACTGCCAAAATTTTTGAAGAGGAAGAGAAAGGTAAGATGATAGTGTCCACAATTTCAAGATTTATAGCTCCTTTAGTTATTTATCTTGGGCAGTGAATTCTTTACCAGTAGGAAAAGAGCACAAGACTTTTGATCATGGTTTTGTGGCTTTCTTAAAATAAAATATTTCTCGCTGTGATTTACTAAGTATATATTTATATACTTTATTGACTTGGTATAGGTGACCCCTTTGTGCCACCAGCGCCAATTATTTCAAGTGAGCAGCAAGCTAATGAGACAATAAGTCCTATGCCATCAAAAGCTCTAATGAGTCCTAAGCAAACTCCCATGCGCACTCCCTCTGAGACTTCTTATGGTGAGTTTTTTTTGTTGTCTTATTTTACTAATTTACCTTTCACTTTATCATTTTGTAATTTTAGAAAGATGTCATATTCTAATTGCTTCTTCCAGGAAGAAAGATCCAAGAGAATGTTGGAACCATTGACCACCGTTTGCATGAAACTTTGGGTGCTATTCAAATTTCTAGTAAGTCTTGTGTCCCTTGCCATTACATGTTTGCATGTGTTATACTTGACTTGATTCCTTTGTTGAATGTGAGTATTTTGATTCTCTGACCTTGCTTTTATTTTAACTCACCTGCTGATTTGATGGTTTTGGTAGGTCAACTTACTGAATGTGGCTCATCACACATGGCTCCTTCTATTTGTGATACCAATAATAATGTCTTAGGTGTTCATGGGATAAAAGAGATAGCTGATATGATGAAATTAGAGGGTGCTGAGCCTTTCATGCTAGCAGAAGCATTCCAGACTCATCCACAACTTCATCTTTCTTCAGAGGATCGAAGCACTGAGTTGTTATGCTGTTCCTATAGGGTGCTACTAAATATTTTGAACATTCTGGCCACTAGGAGCCCCTCCACAATCACTGAGGCGGACAAGATATTGTTGGCAAAGCATTTAAAGGATGCTTCTGTTCTGGATTTGACAAGGACTGGCTTGAGTCAGTTAGGAACAGGGTTTCCACTTGTGATGCATCAGAACTCAATCGCATGCAACAAGCTTTGAAGGGTTTAGGCAATAGGCTCCAAGCCAATAAGATAGAGCTTGCAAATATTCGAGACCAGGAGGCGAAAGCAGCAAAATTGGTAGAAATGACTCAGAGAGAGTTGGAGGCCACACATAAAGAATTAGAGGCAGCATGTAAAGGGTTGGAAGCAGCTCAATCCCATCTTAATGTCGCACAACAAGAACATGCAAACATTAGAGCACGTTATTCTCAACTCTTAGAAGAATGCCAGGAATTTCAGAACAACAGTATCAATGTTCAGAAAAATATTGCTGCCAAATTCAGGCCTTTCGGCTTCTAACATGGGTGCCATTTGAAACTTTATTATTGCCGTTTCAATTAAGGGTCATTGTCGCACCTTTATTTCAAATAAAAAATAAAAGTAATACTCTCATGGACATTGTAATATTACCGTACCTTTATTTTGCACAAGGATCGTGCATGACATTACAGACTTGTTGTACCTAAGGGTTATTTTCCTTGTTAAAATCTTATATCTCTGTGTTTGGTTTCTAGATGTGTTTATCTTCACCCATTTGCTACTAGTCAAATTGAATATAGTGCATCAGCTACATATATGATAAGGCATAATTAAGTACTTTGCTCGACACTGACACATAATATGTTAACATCAGTGTCATGTATAATTGTCAAAGGGATGCTGCATCTCATTGTTTAACTTTTGGCTCTACACATTTTCTAATTACATGTTTGAATTTTTAACTCCAGACATCTAACTGAATCTCATCCCACTTATCATTCAAGCTATCCTCAAGTGACAAAAAATTACCCAACTTAGTCATGAATTTTGTTTGCAATTTTGACTTTAACATTTTAAACTGATTTATTTTAGAATTATCAAGGACATTTATTATAGATTTAAAATTTATTCCACAAATGTTATCATTTAAATTTTATTCTTAACCTAACAATTAGTTAGATAACTAGCATTTTTTATGTCAATATCTCTAGCAATACGTTAATCAGTTTGCACATGATTTGTCTCCAATTTATTTTACTGTCCTAAAATATTTTGGCAGATATTAAGCAACATAACAAAGTTTAAAATTTTTTAAACAAATTTTAAGTAAATAAACAGTTTTGAATCACTTTCTCTTAATCAAGAAATCACCACATCAACTAAATAATTTACAACTTTTCATTGGCAAGCCAGTGGCTTGAAATTTCAATTTAATGGGTAACGAGTTTTGCATTTAATTGAAAGCATATTTAGTTTTACCTTAATATCTATCAAAACTATATAATAATTCTGTTTTTGGGTAAAATTAGCTCCTAATTGATTTTTCCTAGTTGCACAAAATTATTAGCTTCTGATCTATGAAATATCCAAGCGCAAGGATTAAGAAAGCAAGATGTTAAGCATAGAAACGACATACATAATATTATACAAGACCAGGCCAATCATGAAAACAAGATGACAACTCCGTGGGCGAATGATTAACAAGAGAAGAAAGGAAGGAAGAAAATGATAAGAATAATAGATTACTTAATCAAAGACTACTCTCGGGTGAGATTGCGCAATCTCTTGAACATACCCCCCCGAAAAAAAAAGCTCTATTTTGACCAAAACTTCACGAAAGCATCTACAAAAGCTCTGAAAATGGCAAAAACTGGATTTGTTTCTTGTCTCATCGAATGTTGAGGTGTCCCATCCCGTGACTCTCTGCAGAGAAAGCATATGGAAGTTAAGTTAGCCAAGGCAAAAGAACCTAAGCAGCAATAGCTCAAATCTAAGTGACATGGCATTTGAGATCAACACGGTACATTTGAGATGCATATATGATACTCCTCCGGTTCTTAATATAGGATCCAATTCTTGAATTGGTTTTGACCCTAAATATAAGACTTATTTCTCATATTTATCAATTTTCTCTAAACTACCCCTATATATACTCCCTCAACCATAATTAAGTAGAAGAGAAAGAATGGGTATTAAGAAAGATGATTATGGTGTTTTAGGAAAAACGCGTCACTTTTCCTATAATTAACTAACTTACCTAACTTCCTTAATCTAATCAAATTAGTTAAAGGGGTCTTAAATTAAGGACCGGAGGAGTATATACTTACAGATTGATTCTTTCTAAAGCTGGGCTGCTTTCCTGGGAGTTGCCACCAAGCTGACCATTAACCCTAAGCACAGTCATGTTCTCCTGGGTTTCTTCTTTAGTATTTGACTCCTTAGCAGAGGTGCGAGTGAGAGTCTTGGCATGAGAGCCATCTAGAATTTTTGACAATGAATTTATCTATCAGAGAATTTATACCACATGAACCTCCAAAAAAAAAAAAGGCATCTGTGTGGCTCCCAGAACAGCTGGTGAAAAATGGCACTGTTTTGATTGTATTTATGCCAGCTTAACCACCACACGTTTACTAGAAGAAGGGAATTTATGTCCAAATAGAAGGATGAAAAAATTCAAAGCATAAAGATTTGAAATCTAAAAGAGGATGAAACTCAAGGAGATAATACACATGGATAATTCCAATTAAAATTGGAAATCCTAGGCTTGCATAATTTCCCCACTATGTTAGGAACTCTAGCTTCTTGTGCCGCAAACTGAAAAGTTACATTCTACAGATACTTCAAGATTCCCAGAAATTAATGCAAGTCCAAAATAGTAAGCAGAAGGTCTAATTAGTCTCGGGTGAAAATAAAATGTTATCCCAACATGAATCAGCTTATCATCATGAAGACAATAATCTTGGCATAACCCATATCCAAACTTCTGAAACTAACAAAGACTCGTCTCTTCACGTTGAACTCCTCACAGGCGATCCAAAGTTTAAGAAGACTTGATACCAGTGCAAGAGTTCATCATTAACACCAATTTCAGAACAATGATTTTCTCATGACCTGGCAGCCGAACATCACTCATATCTTAATGCGGAGAATGACTTCAATGAGGAAGAAATGCATCTAACATTTTTCTTCTTGAAAACTACACTAAGTGGCCCAGGCTTTATTTAGACTCTCCTTTCCTCTACCACTATCTCCTTAGCTCTCTCCTTCTCTCTGTTCTTTCTTCTCAGTCCAGTATCTATATGCTGAAGAGTACTGGGTCTTTTGTATCTCTATTCTGACTCTCAAGGCCCCCCCCCCATATTCTCCCATGGGGTTAGACCCACAACATCTAATGCAACCCCCCACCCCCAACACAGAGCAGGAACTTAGCTGCATATTGAATTTTGTCGGCTATTAGAACATTGGTTTTGCAATCTCACGCAGAAAGGGAGGGTGGAATACTTTTAATTGACTTGCCGGTTGACATGGTGTCAGAGCCTCTATGACATGGAATACTTTTAAATTAATCAATGTTCATCTTTATGTCCCTCAAGCGTTCTGGCCGAACAAGGCGGTCTTACATATTTAATTTTGTGTTTAATAGTCCCAAACTTATGCTAGAGACTTGCTACTACACCAAGGTCTCCATTAAGCTCATTATCATATTCAAATTTAACCAGAACTTGACTTCCTCTTACTAAAACTGTGCTAACAAAAAACAGGGCTTAATAGATAGACTTATAAAATTTAATCCTCTTCTTGCCAAACACTTTAAAAGAGCCACCAAACACAAGCTAGGGGCCTTTAAACATGCCTTAGGTGCAGGACGGGAATTTAGAACACTTGTTCCATGTTATAACATATCAAAACAGTAACATTTAAACCTCTCTGAGTGACAAAATTGTTAATTCAATAAACATCTGAAGGTTGCTGTCCAAACAGGGGATAAGAATTAAAGTTCACAAAACTAATAATGATATGATGTTCCAATTGCCCATAATCACTATACAAGAGCCACTAGACCCTTTACATGTGCAGTTCATCAGCTTTTAAAGTTTCGGGCAGCCTTCCCTTTACATTTTAGAATGTTCCAGTTACTTTGACCGAACAAGAGAATGAAATAAAACTTGGTTTAGTCACTTCATCCACATTTCACCTTGAGGCCTTTAGGTGTTCACTATATTTTAGTTCCCACTTAATTATAAACTTAGTACATAATTAAACATTATAACAGTGGGAAAAATTCAGCTTATGAATTCCAGATTTCAGCTCCCGTAAGAGAAGTTAAATAAATACTCCCCGTAAACAGAAACTCCAGATCCAAAAATCACTTCTTCTCACACAAATCAACATGCAAGGAATAAAATCAACCCCCATCCATCATCTAAATATGATTTTTATAGCTTAATGCATGCGTCCGTCCCTTCATCTCTTTAAAAACCAGATGGAACATCCATTTGCACAACACAGCCACTGGGAAAAATGTTGATGGAATAAGGTTTAAGGTCCTTACCTTGGTCTAAACGTTCGGTTGCATGTGAGGGGAGAACTTTCCTTCTTCTTCAATCATATCTTCCCCTTCTGTGTGTGTGTGTGTGTGTGTGTGTGTGTGTGTGTGTGTCTGTCTGTCTGTCTGTCTGTCTGTGCGCGCGCGCGCTCTTGCAAGGGCAAAATGTGAGGGAGCTTCTGAGAGGTTTAAATGGAGGCAACGTGTGTGTGTACCTTAACTTACTCCTTGCAAGCTTACTACATAGGCATCTTATTTGGCATTTCATGGATCCCAACCCAGCAAATCTGATGCTTTCTTTTTGGACTATGCATTGGCCCTT